AGGTGCATATATAACACAGTTTTATGATTCTAGAACTTTAGAAGCTTATTTTTGTGTGCATTTGTAAAAGTATGATGCTTTTGGATAATATTTATCTAATAATAATACATGAATATATTTACTAATACCTCTATGAAAAATAAAACGTTTACAAAAAAACTAAAACTCCTTTTGATGTCTTTCCCCCGCCTAGGCTTCAAAGGCTTAAGGCCTTATTCATAATGGCAAAATCATTTCAAGTGGCAGCCAGAAAAAGTGTACTAATTCTAGAAAGTACAATTAAAGAACTAATCAGAGAAGCAAAGAAGAAATTATCCCTTAGCCAGTACCAATGTTCTAAAAGGCGCAAGGTGTTGCAAGACGGCATGATAAGACCTTAAGCCTTTGAAGCCTTTTGCCTTTATAAAGACAAGTTAAATTGTTTGACGGTGATTAAATTGTAGCCATCCAATCAAATGTAGTACGAAATACATGACATGATGACAAACTTGGTGAGACGAACAAAAGAGGTAAAATAGAGAAAGACATGAGACAAAGGGAGTAGAAGTAGTTTGTACAAAGATAGGAGAAATCATGCAAATGCACACATACACACATATACTACGTATATGTTAAATTTGCTTTCCCAAATTATTGAGGATGGCGACGAATTCCTTGTGGATGATGGATTTGTTTAGATAAGCCATTCAACAAATTTCGATGATGAAGAACAATTAAATTTTGGGATGCAGATTTAAGAAGAAATTGGAGATGGTAGATGACAAATATTTCTTGTCATATTAAATCACAAGATGAATAAAAACATACAAATCACAAGATGTATGTATTAGAACTTGGAAAACCTTATCTAGTCAGAATTGTTGTGAGTTTTAAGTTTTTCTTGATCTCCAATTTCGCTGCGGCTAGGCGTGACCAACTTGTTGAGTGAGCTTAATATTCTTTTCCACCTCTTGTGGCGGCGCCACGGCGGCTGCAGTAGCAGCGATGTAATAGGAAAGGGAGAAGAGTGCATGAATAAAGCACAATATCCCTCCCACTGAAAAGTAATGTTCACGTGAAATCCCACAAGTTTTTCTTGACCTCGAGTTTCCTAATACTCCCATTATCAATATTGAGAATGATATAGCCAGCACAATCCTGAATAATTATACAACAACAACACCAAAATTGATTATTACCATGTATTTTAATAAGATAAGAGACGACATTAATAAGAATATGAAAGAACATTTATTGATTTAATTAATAGTCTTGCAACTTATGTTACTAAATTTGAGTTTTTTCCCTAAGAGGGCTATTTTGTAATCTTATTTCTCATAATATGGTACTTTTAAACTTAATTCCCAAATAGGGGTGTTTTTTTGCCATGTCCTCAAGCTAGAGGTGCCATGTCATGCACTTACTCGCCACGTCACACACCCCATATCATCACATTGTGTTGCAAAATACTCCTTATAAAAAAGGAGTCAAAATTGGGGATTGAACCCCATACCTCTAAACTAATGGGAATCTCCTAAACCCAAGCAAACCATTGAACTATTACTCCTTGTTTGACCACGGTTTCATCTAATTATATTTGAATAAGATATGACTCTTGTTTCTTTAGTGATATACTTGGTGCCCCAAATAACTAAAATATAATTAAAATCATAATTTGAGGTATTCAATTAAAAAGATGAAAAAGTAATTAAAGTTTATAATAAATAACTTAATTTGCAATATGTAACTAAAAAATAATTTAAAATAACTCAAAACTAAATAAAATAAAAATAAGTAAACTTATCGAAAAAATAAATTTTCCATTTTCAAAATTAATAATATTAACTGGATTTCGGATTGAATTTTTTCATGACAGATTCAGGCGCACCTGAACAGATTAGTAATATATGTATGTGTGTGTACATATCAAGACACATATTATGCACTATTTTTTTATCATTTTCATTTTCAAATATAAAATTATTAATTTTGGAAATAGAATTTTTTTCAAGAAGTTTACATTTTTATTTAGTTTTGAGTTTATTTAAATTATTTTTTAGTTACATATTGCAAATTAAGTTATTATATAAAATAATTGTGCTATGTAACTAAAAAATAATTTAAAATAACTCAAAACTAAATAAATACGATAATAAGTAAACTTCATTAAAAAGATTATATATGTGTGTGTAAATATAAAAACACATACTTCCTCCGTTCTTAAATAAATGCAACACTTTGACTTTTACACTATTCATATTTATTTATCATTTTCATTTTCAAATGTAATATTATTAATTTTGAAAACAGAAAATCTATTTTTTCAAGAGGTTTACTTATTTTTATTTTATTTGGTTTTGAGTTATTTTAAATTTGTTTTTTAGTTACATATCGCAAATTAAGTTTTTTATTATAAATTTTAAAGAAGTTTTCATTTTTGCGGCAGGTATCACTAAAGAAACAAGAAGGAAATGCGATTAAAATTTTAGTAGAAGATCCCATGTAACAATGAAGCGTAGCAGTCCATTGGCTTCCATGGGGGAGAGAGTTGCCTTGCATATGTGAGGTTTGTGGGTTCAATCCCTTGTAGTATCTATATATTTTTATGTTAAGGAGTATTTTGAGAAGGTGACAATTCCGGTACCTTTCTAAAATATGGGGTATCGTCCGTACCTATCATTCATTTGATTGGACCACATTACTTTATCATTTTTAATTTCGATTTAAATAATTCAACTGCTACATTCTCATTGGTCCATGTGGACAAATGTATGGTACCTTATGGGTACCATAGAATCTACCTTTTGAGAAACCCTTAAATGTGATGACATGGTGTGTGACGTGGCGAGTAAGTGACATGGTGCCTCTAGCTTGATGACATGGCAAAAAAACACCCCTATTTGGGAATTAAGTTTAAAAGTACCCTATTATGGGAAATAAGATTACAAAATAGCCCTCTTATGGAAAAAACTCTACTAAATTTCTAATTTAACACAAAATTTATTACTCCGTGCAAAACCATTCTTACAAATTTCTCTCACCTCTGCATAACTCTCCATCACACAATACTCACTATCTTAAACTGTGTGCCAAACCTATTTGGAAATGTTTAATAAGGGACGGAGGGAGTACTATTTTTTCAATCAATTAAGTCCACCAAAGTCAAAAAATGATCAAATTTGCCTTTTCAATAGTAATTGATCCATTTCCCGGTTATAGGCCTATGTGGATCATCCACGTGACTTTTTTTCACGTCAGCGCTTATGTGGCCATCCTTATGGCATTAAATTATCTTTTTCCTATTTTTTATTCTTTGTTCTTCTTCGTCTTCATACTCCCATTCCTGCAACTCTCCTTCAAATTCCTTTTTCTTGTTTCTCTTCTCTTTTCTTTCTTTATACCATGGTTTGAAATAGCGCCCCGCTACCGCTATAGTGGCCGCTATATAGCGGTCGCGGTAGGGGCCGCTACCGCTACGGCCCACTATTCATGTGTGATTTCCAAATCACGGGAAAAATCCGTTACGCCGCCGGCTACAGCTCGCTACAACCCGCTATTGACATTTCCGGCAATACATCACGAACTGTTTGATGTGTAAATGTGTAAACGTTGTGTGAATGGCGTGAAAAATACATTAATGGTGATGCATGGAGTGAAATTCAAAATTAAATGTTGTGTGAATGATGTGAAAAAATACATTTATGTTTTGCGCAATTGAAAATATTTCACACCGTTGCAACCGCTACAAACGGCTACAGGCCGCTACCGCGATGACCACTACCGCTACCGCTGCCGCTACGGCTATTTAGGGCCGTGCCTATAGTTAGGCTGGAGAGGCCCAAGCCTCAGACCCCCCAAAAAATGGAAAATTTTAGGGCCCATACATTTTGAAACATAACTATTATACCTATGTATTTTCCAATTAGGCCCATAAAAATTAGAACTCTGTAACCTGCGTTTCTTCCAAGTTCTAACTTGCGAAGAAGCAAGGACCGAAGGAGACGGGCGACGGGAGACCCTTCTGAGTTCTGGCGAGTGGCATCTTCGATTGAGACTTCAACAGAAGAGCCGAATAGGTGTTCTACTGTTCTGCAATTGCTATCTGGCCGCCGGCCGGCTTCTCAATTCCCTGGAATCTCTGCTAATTGCCGTACGCAGCCCGCATGTAAGCCGCAAACAACAAAGCTGCTAAGTTTATTATTATTATTATTATTATTATTATTATTATTATTATTATTATTATTTTATTTTGTATTCGTTTCAATCGTTGGCAGAATTGCAGTTTAGCTTTATATAAGTATAAGTACTGTATAACCTACGGTCTACAGAGTAATCAGTAATGGAGTAATGAGTATTATAACCTTTATAACTTTATTATTTGATGGCTAAATGACTTCCAGTCACTTTCCCTACTCTTTTACTTTTATTAATTTAGTTTAGTTATTTTTTTTTTTTGTATTTTCAAAATTTCTTAACTTTGTATGACTTGCTAAATGTTAATGAGATCTATATTTCTATAACTGATTTGTCATGCCTAATGAGGTAATTTAATTTTTTTTAAACGCTAGTTGATTTTTGTTTTTTATATTTAGGTTATCAATATTGAAATTATGGAATTCTTACTTCCCAATCACTACGCCATTGAAAATGTTGGAATAAGGAGCTATCCCTTATATATCTCTTATAACTAATAGGGGAATGACCACTTATTAAATCCCTTATTAAAATTTCCTTATATCTGTTTCCAATAACGGCTCATCCCCTTATTATCATTACTACGGATTAATAAGGCAAAGGCCCTCATATAATTCATACGTGGAAGATTGATAATGTGAGCCTTGTATAAGGAAGTAATAAGGCCGAATCCGTTATTGGCGTTATTTATAATAAAATTATTTTTTCCCCAGAAAAACAATTGAGTTTTCAGTATTAAATTGTACTCCGTATTTCACTCCGTATTGGGAAAGCGTACAAAATACATTCGAAGCATTAAATAATTCAAAATAAAAAAGAAATTGAAATACAGCAGCAAATCAAATCAATGGATAATGGAATACTGTGATTGTCATAAACCCAACTCAATACAATTCAATGATTCTACCAGACAGTAGACAGAATCAAGTTCAATAATCAAGATAATACACTATACAAATACGTATTACAATATACTTCGTAGCTAATATCATTACATTTAGATCACAAACTAAGTTTTAGCTAATGTTGTTGAAGCTGATCCCTCCTCCCAGTTGGTGCCGTAGACCAAATGTGTAGCATCCTCCCAAATCTTATCAAATATGTGAACACTTGGTGTCATAGACCTCCTGAAAATATTGCAAATGTAAGGATTAGCCCAAACTGTGAAGACATGTCCTAAATACAGCAAATGACTTGAACACGCTCAATATCAACATTAATAAGTTACAAGGAAACTCATTAATATGAATACAAGTTTAGGAATTTGAATTGATACTATTAATGCAAGTCATATTGTATTAATACTACAAATACATAAGAGATTCGCATAACTGGAGTACACTACATGTGTTTGTCGCATACCCGGAGTTAATTCGAGGAAGACGAAGTCATTTTAAACACTCGGAAGAAGGATAGACAACGGCGGTGTAGAATCAACAATGAATGGGTCAGACGAAGAATAGGCAACGGCGGTGTACAATCAAGACCAACTGTGCCCCGACAGCAAACATAAAACACACTGAAGAGAGGCCGGTTGATGACTCGAAGGCGCCGCCGCTCTTCAAGTTCAGAGTGCTGCTTTTAGGGTTGGAAAGAGATGTAAAGTTTGTTTTATACGGCATATTTTCACAAATTTCAACTTACGCCACATACTCAATTATAAATTAAATTTTGGCCCAAATGTAAGTTTAAACAAAAACAATCGTATCTGATGGGTGTGGATTTGTAAGACTCAAATTCTCTAAAGGTTTAATCGAATAATCATTAGTCACTAGCATCATAGAAATACGATCCTCCGTTCTTTAATTCTTGTAATAATTTGACTTTTACGTTTGTCAACGCACAACTTTGACTGTAATTATGTTTAATTATGTATTAGTAAACTTTATAAAAAGTTGATATTTTGGAAATTCACATTGATAGGAATTCAATAACATTTTATACGCAATGATTTGATTATGTATATTAGTAGAAAATCGTGATCAAAGTAAGATCTGTGAATAGTGTAAAAATCACAATGTTGCAAGAATTAAAGAACGGAGGAAATATAAGATAAGACTACTATTATTTGAGATTTATTAAAATATATACTACTCAAACACATTTTATTTATAAAAATAGGACCAAAGTTTACGCATCTCCGACGCAGTTATCTTCTGAATGTACGTGACGTGTTGCTTCATTGTCCAGCACTCTATGCCATACATTAATACAGGTCTAATAACTATTCGATAAAATTTACTCTTCAGTCTAGTTGGCATAGCTTGACCACATTTACATCCTGAGGCACTCTTCCATTTCACCCATTATGCTCTAATTCTACGGGATACATCTTCATCTAATTCATCATCCTACTGAATTATGGAGCCCAAGTAGGAACATACCACACTCCGGTATCTCTTTGCCATCAAGGGTAATCCCACTTTCACTACTACTTCTACCTCCACCAAACTTGCACTTCCTATTCTCGATCTTGCTTTGGCTCGGTCTAAATATCTTGATCTCTAATGTTTCTTGTCATACTTTTGACTTTGTTTTAACACCCGATTGTGTCTCATCAAGCAATACAATATCGTCGACAAACATCATGCGTGCATCACAACATATCTTCTTGAAAATACATGTTATTCACTATATGCCTCTTTCTCCTAAACTTCTTCAGGTCTCGATTGATATGCTATCTTGGCCCAGTGCTTTCTTCCTCCTCTCATTCTGAAAGCCTTTTTAACTTTTGTAGGGATCTAGCTTCTCGTAAAGGCCTAATTTACCATATAACCTGGTATAGTAAAATCATCAATACCTTGCATTTTATTCCCATTGAACACGGTATCAAAGTAGGGGTGGACATAACGGTTTGATTTAACCCAAACCGTACTGAACTGAATTGAACTGAAACCAAATCATATGCAATTTGATTTGAGTTTGGTAGTATTTATTCCAAATCGTATCAAATTGAAATGTACCGATAAAAATCGAATTGTCCATTGATATGTACATATATACAAATAAGTGTGAGAATAAGGATGTTTTTAATTGAATTAAAATTTTCAAATTTGGTCTACCTTGTTTAAACCTGACATGATCTAAGGAAATAAATGTTTGTTCAAATTGGTCTAATTTAGTTGGTGACTAAGGATGTTTTTACTTGGACTCTAATTTGCTGGTCTGGTCTGATCTAGCCTGTTTAAGTCTGGTCTTGTCTGCTTAAGTCTAGTCTGGTCTGAACTAGTCTGATCTGGTAAACGTCTGATCTCTGTATATTTTATAACTACGGAAGTTAAGTGGTCTGGTCTGATCTGTTTAAGTCTGGTCTAGTCTATTTAAATCTGGTCTTGGACTGAAACTAGTCCAAGTAAAAAAAATCCTAAAATAAGTCAAATTAAATAGGTCTACAATATAAAAAAGATAATCCGAAATTTGTTTATCTATGCTTGTGACTAAAATAATTGACATCTGTTTTTTGGGGGAATATTATTGAAGAGATACGTGATTTTTTAAAGTATAGAAAATCATGTGAAGAAAATAGTGGATGGTCTTATTAAAAATCAAAATAATAACAAGGGATAGTCCCTTATTAATCTCTCATAACCACTGAAATTTTTTGGATAAGATTTTCTTCCGGGTTGTATAAGGGAGCCGGGGTCATTAATTCCTTATAAAGGTTGTGGCCATGTCAGCATAATTTAATAACAAAGGGATTGCTTATAAATCCCTTATAGGATTTCATAGTCAAATGTAAGACTATCTTTGCAATAAGGGATGAATGACCAACGTGTGTTATAACGAAGTTTCCCTTATTGTGGCCCTTATTAATTTTCAGTCATTCACGTAGTGAATTAATCACTTTGTTATCAATTGAGAAGGAATTTATTGATGACATAGATTATGCGGAGTTCATTAATACTTTTGCGTCTAAAACTGTTCGACGAGTTCTACTTAATTAGTTATTTAATACATTCAATATCATTTTGTTATAATGTAAGACCTTTATTTAAAGATTGCGTTTTTGTGATATTTAATCATTCAATGTTAGTGAATCTATATGATTGACAAACACTATGTATGAGGCCTATTTTATGAAGCTCGACTCAGGCCTGAGTTTAGGTAGGACCGGCACTGCGGCTATTTAAAACCTTGCTTTATACTCTCCTCTTCTTTCTTCCTTCCCCCTCTAGCTTAATTTCCATCTTTCTACCACCGTCCTCTCTATCGCTGCTCTCGGTCGAGCTCCGCCGCAGACGTTGAGTTCTGCCGCCGCCGTCGAGTTATGCCGCCGCCGTCGCAGTCAGCTGGTTGTCATTGAAAAAGAGCAGGGGTCGCCTTTGGATTGCCAAATTCGCCTTCTCTAGTACTCTCTAGCCGTGAGAGATGGGAGGATAGAAGGTTGGGTGAGGTAGAACTGTAAAAGAAGTAGATTGGAGATGTGAAGAAGGGGAAAAGAAAGAAAAGGGAAACAAGATGGGGGCTGAACTACTGGGCAAGAATGAAGGGATGAGGAGGTTGGGTAAGGATATCGGTTAGAAGCGTAGGGAAGAAGAAGAAGAAGAAGAAGAGTGGTTGAGTTGCAGGGGGATCGGAGTTGCAGAGCGTAGAGTCAGTAGGGACGAACAGGAGAAAAAATTGAAGAAGAAAGAAATTAAAAAACGGTGACAACTCTGATACTCTTTTAAAAATGGGGTACCGTACCTACCATTTATTTGATTGGACCACATCACTTTATTATTTTTAATTTAGATTTAAATAATTTAATTGCTACATTTTCATTAGTCCATGTGGACAAAGGTATGATACCTTATGGATACCATAGAATCTACCTTAAAAAAAGCAAAAAAGAAAGAAAAAACTGTAAAAAATAGCGAAGTGGAATCCACATCAGCAAATATAAGGGCCACCGGCCGTTTATCGGTTAAATGGTAAAATTGGTGAAAATTTGACATTTAATGGACTTAATTGATTGAAAAAATAGTACATGTACTCAATTGACCTTTTCTTAATAGCACGTGGACTGATTTGACAGCTTTCCCTTAAAACTTCCAAAATAAGATCGAGTGGGTGATTCTCACTTTGGAAATGACACAATGATAGCTAGCCAATCATATACTACCTCCGTCCCATAAAGATTGGTCAATTTGACTTTTCTTGGTCAATGATGTTAAAGTTTAGACAATGATTTTAGGTATTATATTTGTGTGTAATTTATAAATTTTATACTTTTATGAAAGATTTTTCAATAAAGAATAAGTTCATATAATTTTCATATTTTAAATAATTTTGTATTAAAAGGTATCATTGGTCAATGTTGATCACCATTGATCAAGAAAAGTCAATTTGGTCAATCTTTCTGAGACGGAGGGAGTATATGAATCTTCATTTTAGTGTATTTAGTGAATTTTCTCAAAAGAAAAAGCAAATGTAGTACCATTGAATGATAAGGGAAGCAAAAGCAAGCTGCTTGTTAGAAGAGGATTTGTGGAGCTCTTCCTTTGAACGGATGCAAAAGCCGCAGCCGCCCAGCAAGTTTGAGATGGCGTGTGCCAGAACCAGAAGTGCGGTTGCAGCCAAGCCGAGCTTAAAAGCTTCATAGCTTGGATATCTACATTCAAATATCCACACCTTTAACAGGCTTACCTGCACGTACATACATACTGTCAAGTCATCTTCCATAGACCACGTATAAAATTACAAACTAACAAATATATACACTATTTAAGATGGAACACAAAATCTTAATTATTGCATAGTTCATCTATATATTATGAAGTATTTCATACAACCCTCTAATAGACTAATTAATATTCCCTTGGTCTCATAAATTTTACCAAATTCTCTCATGGATCGATTCATGTTAACCGACCTCAAATTCTTTTGAGATTAAAGCTTGGATGTTGTTGTTGTTGACTTGTTATAGCTGAGTAAATATAATTTTGCCAATTCGATTTAGGTAAGGAATATGTGATTCAAATTATTTTCATCTTTTCTACAGAAACTTCATGAATACGATTTGTACTTTATTGTTCTAGATACAATTAAGTCATAGTAAACCAAAATTTATCACTACAAAAAAATCACGGGATTGACACGGATTTTGCACGGATTTAATGATTATTTTGTGCAAAATAGCTCGTGCCAAAGCGTTTTATGCATGGATTTGGCATTTCCCTGCCAAATCCTTCATGATTTTTTTCAAATCCCTGCCAAAATCTCTGCCAATTCTGTGTTTTTTGTAGTGTATGGGAGAAAGGGAGTACCAATGATTTATCAAACTTTATTGCTTTGTATATGATTAATGAATTTCCAAGACATAATAATGTACTTCCTCCGTTCTCTTTTAATTGCAACAGTCAACATTTCCCGTTTGCCAACACACAAGTTTGACCTTTAATATCTTTCATTCTTTATTAGTAAAAAAATTTAAAATTCAGATTTTGAAAATTTAGAATGAGAAGAATTTAACAAAATTATTTAAAAAAATCAATTTATAATACATTAATAAATAAAATAGATTCAAAGTAGAATATGTGAAAACAGAGGTAGTATTATATAGGGAAAACTCCTTAAATAAGAGTAAAAGGTTTTGAAATTCTGAAATTGAATTGTCATGTTTTTTTACCTAAATAGTAGTAATTTCTGCCAAGTTTGGTATTACCAGGTTTTAAACATGACAATTTTTTCCAAACTTGACGAAAATGACTCATATTTAGAGAATAAAAACATGAATGTTCTATTTTAGAATTTTATCCTATTGAGTATTGAGAGCAACGCAATATATTTCTATATTACGTAGTATTATATACGGAGTATATGCATGCATGCATTAATTATACACTCCGTATTTAATTATTACCTTACTCTGAGCTACCTCAGCTTCAATACCGAGTATTCCGGCAGTGATGTCAATAACCACGACCATAAGACAAACAAAAATATTGCATGTCTGGCGTTTTATCGTCATCTTTAATTACTATGTAGCTAGCTTGAAGCCAATCCTGGATCAATGAATAAAGAGCCGTATAGTATAGGCTTACTGCTTATATATAATACATACAAGGGTATGTGAATAGATAAAATACGTTTCCTCTTATTGGAAACTATATACTACGTACTACGTATGTTTGAGATGGACTTCAAGAATCCGAATAATTTAAAGGTAACTGAGATTTCCTGGCCTGTAGGTTTATAATCAGTGCTTTATTTGGTTCGCTTCTCCATGCCTGCATGTGCTTTTGAGGATACCTTTCAATTGGGAACACGGGAGATATATGTTTGTACATCCTCCTATCCATATACCCAGTGGCGTATCCAGAAACTTTGGCGAGTGGGGGCGAACTTGACTACAATTTAGTCTCATATTTCACAAATAACAAATCACATTATTAATATTGTTTGATTAAATTTAGTTTATAATATCTATGTACAAGTATGAAAAAGAAGAAGATTAATTTACATTACGGGTGTGTAAAGATGTAATTGCAAATCAAATGTAATAAATTTACCTAAATATAAGTTAAACAGTCTTAAATATAACAAAATTTAGTGAATTTTTTAGCCTTTCATTCTTTTAATATTAAAGAAAACACTTCTAATCCTATTTTAGAATTTTTTCTACATTTAACTCCATATATATATTTTAGACATATATATAGGGGTTGGGGTTGAGTGGGGGCAGCTGCCCCCGCTGCCCCCATAGTGGATACGCCACTGCATATACCCTTATGGAAGAGCGAGACCTACGAAGTATTAACGATGGAAACTCTCTGGAAAAAAAATATATTACCTCCATTCTTAAAAAAATACACTTTGACTATTACACTATTCACATGTTCTACTTTGATTATGTTTTATTTATTAATGTAATAATATTATTTTATGAAAAAATTATTGTTAAACTTGTCTCATTGTAAATTTTCATAATCTAATTTTTTAAATTTTTTACTAATACAAAATCATTTATATTAGTGGTCAAAGTTGTGTCTCGGCAAGTGTGAAATGTTGACCGTTGCATTTATTTAAAAACAGAGGAATTCAATAACATTCTATAAGTATTTCCATTTCACAAATTATACCGAAATTCTTTGAAAACTTTCTAAACAATTGTTTTCTAGTGAAAGATGTCCATATTTGTAAAGGGATAAGGCTCAAATTGGATACTATGGTTATATGATAATCTCATATTGGATACTAAGGTTTCAAATGGATCAAATTGGACATTATGGTTGCATATGCATCTCAAGTTGGACACTAGAATTTCGTAATTCATAGTTTTTTTACACTCACTTATTATTCTCTTCTTCCTTTAATAAAAATCGTTAGTATATACTATCGTATTTCCTTTCCTTTTAGTGAAATTAAACTAATTTAATTTCTTATATCACTTTAGAATATTTAATTTGAGGTTTCATAATTTATAATTTGATTCTAATTAATATAACTTCTTATATTCAACAATTTAAAAATATATTTAGGACTTTTCAGTCATACGATTATATGGAACTTTAAAAAATATCGATTTGTTAAATTGATTAAACAATACTACTTCTGTCCCGGAAACAAGTTCCCGAGGTGACTTTCACACATTTTAAGTAAATAAAGTTATTGAGGGGTAAATTTTACTGTTTTGACGTTGTTTAGCACTGTTTCGACACTATTTGGCACTGTTTTGCATTCTTTGACATTGTTTTGCACTTTTTTATGTAGATAATTTGTCAATTAAGGAAATGAGAATTTTTTTTTGGGACATCCAAATAAGGAAAGTGGAACTTGTTTCCGGGACGGAGGGAGTATTAAATAATTCTATTACATTATCATGGATTTTCTTAATTTGAATATCTAATTTATATATATTCTAAATATAAATTCGCAAAATAAGTTATATTTATTTATTAGGTACCTAAAGCACAAAGAAAAGGGACTTTTAGCTTTCAAAGGTGAAAATCTTTGGTGGGTGTCCAAAAATGATCAGAAAAACGTTAAATTTGATACATTTGAAATTTTAATGTCCAATATGATCAGATAAACAAGTAACCATAGTGTCCGATTTAGTTCATTTTAAACTTTAATGTCAAATATGAGATTCTCATATAACCACAGTGTTCAATTAACCCTTAACCCAATTTGAAAATGTTGTCTTTTGAGGGGTGACATTTGTCATATGGACGAGGACCACATTTGCAACAATTTGGACACAATTGATGGTGACATTTCTACACATGAAAACACATGCGGCATGTACTTTATACTCCGTGAATCTAATCGCTAGGGAAAAAAATCGAAATATGGAACAATTATTACTCATATTATAAGAATGAAAAGATTATTATCCTATTATTACTTTTATTGGTGTTTAAGGCTAATAGGACATGAAAATAATTGAGGTTATTGGTGTTTATTGGTGTTCAATAAAATCACAAACAAAATGCAAGGCTTTTCCAGCTCAAGGTTACAAAAAGAAAAGTATCGCTAGGGACCAACTTGCTATGCATCAGTGCATGTATGTGATTATTTTTCACACATACTCTCCTTTTTCATGTGAGTATTTGTGAAACTATATAGTTCTTTAATTCTTGAAACATTGTGATTTTTGTACTATTCACAGACCTTAATTTGACCACGATTTTCTACTAATATCCATAATCAATTAATTACGTATAGAATGTTATTGAATTCACATCAATGTGAATTTTAAAAATATCAACTTTTTATAATGTTTACTAATACATAATTAAATATAATTACAGTCAAAATATCAAAAGTGTTGCAAGAATTAAAGAATGAAGGATAGTATTTCAAGTAACAAGGACGGAGTACGATTATGATGATTCCCCTAAGCTAGCCAGGGACCAGCTTTGTTAATCGTTAATTAGTCAGGCCACTACTTGATGGAGTCAAACATGGAAGAGAGAAACGACTCCATAGAAGAGGAGGTTGGGCTGATCACAAGCAACAATGTGAAAGTAAATGTAGACGAACTGCTCAGTCAAGCGATGCAAAGTACGCTGCAGAGATTGCCGAAAGTAGTACTCCCCACATCGGCCAACTCCAGACTCATAGGCTGCATTTTACGGGTACCCCAGGAGTTCTTCAGCAGCAATTCGGAAGTCGACCTGCGTCCGTATCAGCCTTAGGCATTCTCAATCGGTCCATATATACCACCACTTGAAGCCGCATCTGCAGGAAATGAAGGAGTACAAGTGGAGTTTCCTGAAGGCAGTGGTAAAGAGGACGACGGACGGATAAAAAAGTGTGGGTTTGGCACAGTATGTAATTAAAAGCTGTCAGAGGATTAGAAGAAGCCGCGAGAGAATGCTATTCTGAGCCTGTCGATCTTAAAAGTGATGAGTTTGTAGAGATGTTTATTCTTGATGGCTGCTTTGTGTATCGCATTCACCCGGTCTTTCATGTATCACTTCTCAAGAGATGTGTAGGGGCTGCAAATGCCACTAGTCCCACTTTACCACCTTATTCTGAGGATGGCCAGCCCATTATTGAACCAGAGCGAGTCCTCTTCTTTTGAACATTTCACACAAATGCAGGTGTCATGCGTGAAGTGTTGTTCCAATGGACCTCTCTGAGTTCCGAGGAGGCAACATGGGAACCAGTGGACGCATTGCAAAAACAATTTCCAAACATCAACCTTGAGGACAAGGTATGCCTTCAAGAGGGGGGCAATGATGAAGATGATCGTGGGCTGGACTGACGCCGGAGCAAGAGACAAAAGAGGAGTAATACAAGGCTACATGATTTCATTACTTAGGCCATATAGTTTACGTAATTATATATTATGATTAAAGTAATATATTTAATTAAAGTGTTATTATTGCTGCAGGTTTCCTTGGCATTAGTTTAAGTCATATAGGAGTTATTAAAATCTTAGCAGTAGCCTAGTATATTACTCTGTAGAAGTTTGAGTCCAAATACTTCTCTGTCTTGTATTCCGAACAAGTAACCTTGGGTATATGTATAGATACCCCTGGTTCATTAATAAAATATAGCATATTATTTCAGATTAACAATTGGTCTTCTATCACAGTGAGATAGAATTTGGTCTTCTTTACACCGTGAGTAAAGAGCGGGTAATTCCCGAAGCTGGGCGTTTTCATCAAGATGATGGTTCTTGATGGCTGCTTTGTGGTTGAAATTCTTTGGGAATTCACTGGTGTGGTTCCCTTTGAGGACGACGATCCATTTCTTACTATGCAATGGGCGGATACTAGTTAGTCTCCGAGATGACCTCCGTCACGATAACCAAATACCATTTTTCATGCTCCAGACATGGTGCACTTCACTAAGCTGCTTGACTTCTTTCTGTGCGTGTAGTTTTAGAGCAACCCATTAGAGAAATTAAAGCACAAAAAAAGCTCTAAATAAAAGGGAGTACTTGGTAAATAATTTGTTTTACCTTATCATTTAAAAGTTAAATGTGGCTGCCTATCCAACTTGTAGAAGCATGGAACACTACAACAAATAGTATCATTTGCGTCCAAATTATTTGCGTTAACACCGGCGGACGCTAATAATACATCTTTCGCGTAAACATGTTCGACACAAAAAATACTACATACCCCAATAATATTAGTTTATATTGCGTGGACGCTAAAACTAGGCGGGCCTCGATTAAAATTAAAAAGGCTCCTTTTTTTTATTTATGGATCCCTAGCAAGACACTACCTTCCTTCAGACTACCCTCCGCCGCTAGCTTTCAAGTCCTCCCAAGTTTCAGCGCCGCCGCAACGCCGTCGTCCCACTGCCCGGTGATGCTCTGTGCTTTCTTGTTGGATTTGCAGCAACACACTGTTCTGGATTTCATCTGCGCTCCACGACATCGGCACTCCACGACACTGGCACACCGCCTCAACACTCGTAGCTTCATCGCGGCACAGGCGCACGCACGGATCCATGCCTCCTTACCTGGTTAGTGATTCGCCTCTCATTCGCAAACTACAACCTCAATTTTGTAAACCTAATCTGAAAGTCACCGAGGCATTTCCTGAATCCCATTTTCATTGCTTGATTTTCGATTATACCTTAAATTTCTAATTCCTAAACTGAATGTTGAAT